AACTCTTTTTCCTAAATGTTTCCACGTGACTTTGGCTGTGTCCCAAGAGGTTTAACTAGAGCCCTGGAATATGAATAGCAGCTGTGGGGAGGAAGAACTAGAACATTCCTTATTTAGGTAATTTCCTAATAACCTCCCAGTTCCCTAAAAATAGTGCAGGATAAAATGCTCCACCATACCAGACTGGCACTGAGCTGGGAAATGGGAGGTGCTGGATAATCTAAAACTCACTCTATTGTGTCTCTCTGACTCTGACATCAGGGAAGCATTTCCTATTTTTAGCTTGGATTTGAAGTTGTTGAAGTGTCTTAAGATTCCTGGGTATGTAGATATTCAACATTTTGAATTGAAAGTGCACTCCAATATCTCAAACAGCAGTGGAAACCTCCACATTCCTCTAGATCAACATTTAATATATATGGAGTGTGAAAGTAAAAAATACAGATCTAAAATTATTTAATCAACATGTAACATCAAAAAAGTCCCTGTTTAACTTCCTTTACCAAATTTTCCAGGTAACTTACATTGTTTACAGAATGGCTGTTGTAGGTTGAGTGTTCCAAGAGCTCTGTTTACTCTCTCTGATCTTTTCCAGTTCATTTCCTGCCCAGTGCTGGAGGTTTGCTTCCTGCTGGAGGATCTCCCCCAGCTCTGTGCAGGGCTCTGCCTGCACTGCCACCGTGTCACCCCCTCTGAGTGCCATCACATTGTCCTTTCTGCATCCCTCCACAGGTCTGGGTGTGGTTTGTTTCTCCCCCCAGGCATCACAAGTGGTGACAGCAGGGCTGGAGTGGCTCTGTGTCTGTCCCAGCAGCAGCTTTAGTGGCAAACACTGCCCAGGGGACACTGCTCACCCTCAGCTCTGTTCAGCCTGCAGACCTTTGTCCTCCTGCTTTTCCTGCGCCCTGGGGGCAGTGAGCTAATGATCTCATGTTTGTTGGGCACCAAAAATAGCTAGGGATCACAAACCTGCAGGAGAAAAAAGAATATCTGATATGTGGGAGGAAGGTTTAAAGACCAAAAGCAGAGAATGAAATTGGAGATGTTTGTGCGGCCACAACCTTTATACACAGCTATGCAAAGGAGGGGTAGGGTCACCTCAACAAGTGAGGAAAGACAGAAAAGCAGGGATCAGATGAAGCTGTCCTGGGGTTGAATGAGGTTTTATCACAAGCTCCAGTCACCTGTAGTGTCAGCTTGGATAAGCAGTGGAACCAAGAAAGGATCTGATGCTGTCAGCATAATGCTCAGCCCTGCAAGAAATGCTCTCTAGCAGAGAAAAGTGCCCCTGCCTGGGCTGGGCAGTGCTCAGGGCTCTGCACATTCTGGGCACAATCTGATCCCTTCAGTAGCAGGAACACAAGAATTCAACCTCATGATTCAGCATAAGAAATGGGGGTCAGCAAATATTTTGGGTTTTTTCTTTTTCTTTGGCAGACAGGGGCTAACAGGCAGTGCCCAAGGAGTCCCCTCCTGGCCTGAGGGACGTGGTGGCTTCCAGTGACAGCTGAGTGTGTCCTGCAGGCTAGGCCTCTGCTTCTCCTCTCCCTGCCTGCAGTGTGGCTGTATTAGCCACGTCCTGTGTGTGTGTGTACTGATTCACTTGCTCTTATTTCTTGGAAAAGCAGAATCACTTTGTTACCAGTGTACCTGCAGCACACACCTTACCTGAACCTGTCCAGGTACATATTCATATTTCCATCTAAACAAAACATTCCCTAACAAAACACCCATCCTTTTATCCTTTTTAATGCTCAAGCTGTACTTCTTCCTCACTTGATTTTGAATAATCAAGTGATTCCTCATTTACCTCCATTTTTCAGGAGCTTAAAGCTTTTTTATATTGGTGCTTTGGGAGACTGTGAATCCACTTTCCTTTTGCATTAACCATATTTACCTACTTTTGCAGATTTCAAATGTTTATTTCACTAACCGTGGCTTATCCTGTTTTACAGAGGTTTTAAAAAACATGTAAAGTTCCTGTTTGTTTAAAAAAAAAAGATGTTTCAGCCAAACCTGAGATCCCTTCCTGGGCAGGGCATCCGTTTGGGGGTGGCTGTGCTGTGGTGACGAGTTCCTGCTCCCTCAGGGCCAGGGGCTCTGCACTGGTGCCTGGAGAACCAAGGGGAGATCTGGTTCAGTTTTAGTGGTTTTAGCTTTATAGCAAGATTTTTTTTTTCTCTTTTTTTTTTTTTTTTTTTGCCGCAAAGGATCAAGGTTCCTTTGATCCTCCTCGAGATTCAAGAGGTTTAAGTAGGAAAGGTGATGCTATTTTTTTTATATACCATTTTTATTTTCACTTCTGGTTTGACTCTTTCAACCCTTTCCTGTGTCTCTTGTTGGGGATTTTATGTTCCCTCATCAGGTTCCCGTACATCCTCACTGCAAAACTGCTGTTTCAAGGTCAGGGTAACCTTCTGGGTCTGTGGCACTAGAAAAGGTAAATTAGTGTCTGCTCCTGGAAGGACAGCAAGGGTTGGGTGTGCAATCCCTCCACACCTGAAAGGATCTTAAACCTGTTGGAACTGGGGGAAATGGGGCACAGATGGAGGCAGTGACTGGAGAGCACAGCACAGCAAAGGTCAGATGTGAGAGCCTGTCCAGTGATGCTGGGCTGGGCTGACAGGGTGGCCTGCAGACTCTGGAAGTAAATAAAGGTCAGCTGGATCAGCCTGTCTGGGTTGGAAGGGGCTGTCAGGTCTGATGAAGGAGGCTTTATCTTCATTTTTGCTGTAAATATTTCTTCTGCCTTCAATTTACTCCCATTTTCCCAGGCACTGCTCTGAAGGGTTCAGCTCAGGATATTCCCTGCTGGGTCTGATGGCCACAGTCAGGGCAGCTCTGGAGTAGAGGCATTTCCAGGGAAATAAACTCTTAAAGACTTTATTCCCTCAAACATTTCAAACCCCAGGCCTTGGGAGTGCCTTCAACTCCTCATAGCAAGTTTTAGATTCATATTTAGATACAGGAGCATTTTCACTATCATGTTGATACAATCAGCTAGCAAACAATGACTTTTCTTTTGAGTTTCCCATGGGAGAAGTTTTGATGTAGGGGTCATTTTCAGCTTCCCTTGTACTTGCCTGGTTACCCTGTCCTGTCTGGGCTGCTCTGGCTCCCCACAGCCTGAGCTGACCTGCAGGGCAGGGCTCTCACAGGAGCCCTCAAAAGGGGAAGGGCTGGGAGAGGCAAAGCTGGAGAAGTTTTGCAGAACTGTGGGGAGAAGCAAACTCTGATGTGAGGTTAGAACTCCCAGTAGGGACCAGTGTGTTTGCCTCCTATCAGTCCTGCCAGCCTTTCCTGCAATAGAAAATCCCTAAGATTAATGGGTCACAAAATGAGAGTGGATATGAAGGGCACTGCTAAAATCTGAGATTTCTGCTATTAACAAAACATGGGGTAAAATTCCTGGGTGGGGTGATCAGTCTCCCAGTGTGCTCTCAGAGAAGGCAAATACCAAGCTCAGTGGTGCACTACAAACTCCTGACCTAGACCACTTATTTTTTCTTTGCTGGACCCAAATCTGGACTTCAGGAGTTCACAAGCAAGTCTCACCAATTAGGCATCCAGTAGAATTTATTATTAGTGTTGATCTGTTCCCAAATACAGATACTGCTGAGAAACACTGAAAACCTTCACTGAGAAATTCAGGGCAGGGGAAGGTGAGCGTGTAGGTGTGGGTACATTTAAAGAAAGGTGAAGTGGCATCTTCTGTACTGTCAGAGCCTCATGGCAAGGCAGGAGGGAGGAATCTCTGCCAGTGCTCAGTGGCACATGCTGGGATTTTTATTACAAAGCTCTGATCTCAAGCACAGGGTGGAGGTGAGGAGGGCTGTTTGCAGTTCTCTGTGTCATCAGCACCTTGTTCTGAACAGAAGGTGAAGCTCCTTTGGCATCTCCCACTGATTCCAAACCCAGGCTCATGTGCAGTAGCAAATGCACAGTGCAGGTCTTGCAGCATCACTCTGGGGGAGCTGAGGCCAGGAGGAGCCTCCTGGAAATGCCCCTGAGTGCTGGGTGGGTGCTTGTGCAGGCTCACACATCAGAATAGCAGAGCTCTCTTGTAGGGGGATAGAATAGAAGAGCATAAAGATAGTGTAGAAAGTAATCTCACCCCTAAGGAGCTGCAGCTGGGCCAATTATCAAAGATCAGTTACAGGCCTGACTTTTCCAGGCCACAGCTGTAAGCAATGAGAAGCAGAGTGCTAGAAAAGAGTGGGGTGGCTGGGTGAGAAGGGAATTGGAGTCAGTGGCTGCTTTGGGAAGAGGAAAGAGTCAGTGCTCTGAGGAGATGCCAAAGAGAAACACCAAGAAGGTGTGGAACTGTTGTGATAAGGAGACAACAGTATGGAACCCCTGCAATAGGATGACTGCATTTTCTTTTCTCACAGCAAGTAATTCTGAAATATTTGATACCATATCTCACCTGGGCTCCTTTTTTATTTAATACCTCAAACTGTGTTATGGTGGAGTAACCTAAAGGGAAAATCTTGCCATTACATGGTACAGTTTTTCTTAAGAAAAAGTGAAAAAAAACCCCAAACTGAAACTTCAAAAGCCTAAGTGAGAAGTGGGGGGAAAACCAGCCAAAAAGAGATCAATTTTCTTTAGTTTAAAAACCATTTCCCTGAAGTAAGTGTCAGCCCTGCCCTCTAGTGCTGCTGCAAGTGAGGTGTTGGTGCACAGTTCTCAGTACAAGCCTGGGCTCACCTGAATAAGGCAGGCTAAAGTGGGGATTTTTGTGGGTTTTACTGGGTTTTATTTTGTACTTCTTGTGGCTGGTTGATTTTTTAAGGTGATGGTCGTGTTTATGGTATTTTCATAGGATTTCATTGTGAGACAACCAAAATCAGCCTCAGACTTTGACAAATGACAGGCTCTATAAAATCCCTGAAGTACTTTGAGCATCTAAGCTAACAATTACGATAAAAAATTCAGTCAGCTGCAGAAGAGAACGAGTGTTTATGTGATTCATGACTAACTGGAGCTTCCCTCCACAGCATTGAAGGCGAGTACGTTCCCGTGGCAGGCGACGAGGTCACCTACAAGATGTGCACCATCCCTCCCAAGAACGAGAAGCTGCAGGCAGTGGAGGTGGTGATCACCCACCTGGCCCCTGGCACCAAGCACGAGACCTGGTCAGGGCACGTCATCAGCTCCTGAGGCGTCCCCTGGAGCGGGGCTGCTGCCAGGTGGGCTCTGCTCAGCAACTGGCTGCAGGACCTGCCTGAAGAATTCTGTGTGTGAGGAAATACTGCATTGTCAATAAAGCAGATGCAGGCCAAAATTACCACTTTTTACAGCTGGCCTGATTTAAAAAAAAAAAAAAAAAGGCAATTCAAATGCTAATGAAAAAATCTAGCGTAATGTGTTTACAAGAAATGTATTTAAAGAGACCTAGTTTGTGTGCTTGGTGGAGGAAGGGAGGTTTGGGTTTTCTTTTGTCTTGTGAACTGATTCCAGGAAATGCCCAGGGGAAGGGGGGAGAGGTTTCAAGGAGAGCTCTTCTTGTGCAGGTGGTCCAGCCCAGCTCTGAGCCCTGAGCCCCCTGGGCTGCTCTCCAGGGCTGCAGTACCTTTATTGCTGATTTAGTGCCTGAATGCCCTGGCTGGCACGCAGAGGTGTTCATTGCTGACTTGTTTTCCTCATGGAAGGAAGTTCACAAACAGAGCAGCTGCCACAGGGTGGAAAATCTCCATCAGGGGATTGTGCTCCAGATGCCCATCAGGTGCACCCCTGCAAATGGTGTGGAAACTGTGTTGTACTGGTAAAGCTGGGGTTGTTTGTGAATTTACTTAGGTGCCTTGATGGTTGATTAGCAACAGATTTTATAGGCCAGTATTAAAAAAAAAAAGAATCCATCCCAAATTTAAATTTGCTCCAAGGTAAGTGGTAGAAAACCGTAGAGTAGTGGATACTTCACAGCCTCAGAGGGTGTCTGAATTTTGACCAGGCTGAAGATTTGCCTTCCAGACTGCATGCAGCTGACTGGCATGGTGTGCCAGGGGCAGGCAGGGCACCTGCACTGCTGCACAGCAGGTGTGTGCTGCCCAGGTGTGTTAAACACTGACTGAGTTCTCAGCAGGCTCAGCTGCCTTGGTGAAGTAAATTCTGCATCTGTTTCCCTGGCAAACTCCCTTGGTTTGATGTGATAGGGCCACCCTTCCCCAGACTTTTGTGTAGTTGTAGTGCTACTAAATTGGTTTTGTTCCTATTTGCCTTCCATATATATTTTTTTCTTTCAAATGAAGCATTTTTCTCTGTTATTTTCCTAACAGTGGATTTTTATTGACTTTGCAAATAAAACCAGAAAAAAAAAGCAGAACTCTTGTTAGTTGTATGAAACAGTGTAGCTTCAGTTGTGTGTTTGGAGCTTCACCAAGAGGTGCTGGCTGTCAGGAGCTGTCCTGAGCCTTTCACAGCAGCTGATCTGTGCCCAGCTGTGATGTGGGCTCAGAACTGCTGTGCTGGTTTGTTTTCCCTTAGCTGTGCCTGTTACACTGTGGTGTGCTGGGGTTTGGGTTTGGTTCTGTTTTTATGACCCATAAGCCTTGGTAGTGGTGGGTTTATCACTGTGCAGCTTGTTGGAATATCACCCCCTGCTTTCTTTACAATAAATGCAACCATTTCAGTGCTTCCATGTGTTCCAGTCTGCTCCCTGGGTAGCTGGTGCTGAGGAGGATCAGCTTTCAAGAGGAAAATGCAGGTGCCTGCACAGGCAGCCCTGTGTGGTGACTTCAGTTTTATGTAAGGAAATGTTTTCCCAGCCACTGACTGCACTTAGCAGAACAATGAGGGAATAACAAGGCCAGCACCTGTCAGAGGAGGCTCCCAGGACAGAGCAGCCAGAAATGTCTTTGGGGCTGAAAACCATCAAAGCAGCAGCTCTTAAACTAAACAACATTCCTAGACTAGGGATGGTCCTGGTCCTAAGTCAGCTCCCATTAACACAGGAATTGGTTAGGGAAGATCAAACAGTTTTGGTGCATGAGGTGCACTGCACTCCCCCTCTGATTTTGTAAGTCCTTTTGGGTGGTACCAAGATTCTATTCTCTGCTTTTTTACTGTGCAAGTATCCTGTGAACCTGAAACTGAAAAAATTCAAATTATTAATATTTTGGTACAGACAGGCAGCATGCAACAGGTCTGCTTCAAGTATTTTATTTTCCATAATGATAAATCAAAACAGGGTATTTTAATGATAAAATCAGATTTTATTCTCCTTTACTAAATCAAACCGTTTATACTCAAGATTACTTTCCTAATACCAGCTGAGAAAAGTAATTAACAGTAATTAACAGTTACACAGAATGTCAGACATTGACTTGAATTTCAACAGAAACATAGTTTAGGTCATTTTTGTAGTATGAAAAATCTCAAGCTACCCTTAATGCCTTAACCAGGAATCTCAGAAAATGATCAGAAAGTGGCAGAAATATATTTTGCTAATCTGGTGAAGTTATTTTAATTAATTTTTACAAATAACTTTTTAGATTTGGTCTGCACAGACTGTAGGTAGCATGACCTGAGTTGTGCCTTGGCACCACATCCATCCTGAGGAGGGAACTTTGGCACCAGCTGCTCCAGCACTCCTAGGGATGGCAGTCAGGGACTTCTGGTCCAGTGCCATCTTCCCAACCCCAGGAAGAAATAAAACCTTTCCCTTTCATTCATCTTCCAGTTTTAGACAAGAAAGTGTCTTATAATTCATGTTAATTCATATAGCACAAGGTAAATATTTTTAAAAAATCAACTGCATCTTTTAAAAAGCTGCCTCAACATAAAAAACTAGGGATTAAGCCTTGCAGGCCAATTTTAAGACCAGGAATCAACTAGAGGCAGATTATGCCTCCCCTTCCCTCCCTAAATTGTAATTAATTAGTTAAGTTTACAGATATCTTAAAAACCAACCCAAAATATAACCCAACCCCACAACCAAGCAAAAAGAAAACAATTTATGGGATTGGAGGTTGAAAGGATGGTGCTCAATGAGCTCTGCTGTGTTCCCCCAGGCAGCAAGGGGTCTTCAAGTAAAACATTTCCCTTTAGTAATGGCTGACCTGCAAAGCACCTGCTATTCATGGCCAATTACATAAAAACAATCCAGAATGAAGATGATGTTTCAAGTTATTTTGCTGTTCTAACTGTCCTCAAAGTGTGAAGTCTGAAGTCTTTTATTTAAAAAATAGCTCTTCACAGATTCTTCTTGTATCCTCCGGGGATGTGACACTGTGGCCTTCTGTTCTGGAGTCTGTGAAAATTTCATAGTCATTCCCTCCCTGGAAGCAGAAGATGATTTAATTTTATTTAACATCAAGGACAGTCACAAATAGGGACACATGAAAGGAAACAGGGAAAAATGGACTTTTTCCAAGGGCCTGCAGTGATTAGGCTCAGTGAGCACCAGCACTGCCCTGGATGAGCACAGATCCCCAAACTCCATCCACAGCTTCATTCCCAAATTTCTGTTTGCCACACTGCTCCCACAGGTCAGCATCAGCTCTCAGTACTTCAACTCTCTGGAAGAGCTGCACTGCCACTTAGAGGGTCTGACATGAACTGTCTGTGAGCTCTGTGCCACAGGGACAGGTGATTACTTTTGCAGCTGATGTCAGGGGGAAAAAACTTAAATTTCAAGCTTGTTTTTCTCTTATAAACCTTTTTTTTTTTTAATGTATAAAGTCCTGTGTAATTTCAGAGTTTTGTAACTGTGAGTTCTTATCAAACCAAGCCTTTTCTTATAAAACAGGCTGACAATGTCCTTTGGCCAAATTCAGACAGCTTTAATTTCAAGCAAGTCCTTGTGCTTGCCAGTGCCCTCACAAGCTCTTGTCAGGTCTCTGATTTTTAAAAGCCTCTGAACTGCCCTGCAGAGCTCTTCCCCATGATGAGGGACAAGGGACTCTGCTCAGTTCCCCAGGGTGGAGACAGAGCAGTGAGCAAAGGCACAGTGTTAAATGAGACAGGAAATAAATATGTTTAATAAACACCAGCCAACAAAAACCAATCTAAACTAACCAAGCAGGACAATCAGTTTCACACAGTCATGTCACCTAGGTGTTTAACAGAATTACACAAGCTCAATTTTAAAACAGCCTCTGTTAAGGCAAGAACCCTGTGTTCAGCTCAGGAAACAGAAGGAAAACTTCCCATCTGCAGCCAGGTAAACATGGACACGTTTATGCCCTGACTTCAGCTCTTGTCAGGATTAAGGTTACAAGGTTAGAACCTGCACTCCTTGAGGTTTAATTACAGCAGCTCTCAAATGAGTGTGTCAAATTAATGTACTCACTGGCATGGTCTTGTCTCCAAAGAAATAAATAGTCTTGTATCCATCCTTGGCAACAATTCCTAAGCAGTACCTTTTATCCCAGCCCTCTGGGAACACATCGATGCTGATCTGCCCTCCTAGGAGAGAGAGGAACCACGACTTGTTACATTTTAACAATGTATTTATGAAGAGAAAGTGAAAAAAACCCTAAACTGGGCAAGATTTTAGGCAGAGGGAGCTTTGCAGAAGACAAGAAATGTTGTGACACTCTGGAGTTAAGTCCTGCAAGTACAGAAAGTGTTTTATAGGGTATCAGTTATTAGAGATGTGATTCAGAGATTTTTTTATCCATTCAACAAAGTCTCTGAGCATGTTCCCAAACACTCACTGCTATCCAAATGAACCTTTTAAAATAATTACATTTAATCTTTTTACTTTTAGATAGAAAGGACACATGAACACAGCCACTGATGTATATACAGCCATAAAATCATAGGCAAAAGACTTGCTAGGGCTTTCAGAGTAGGAAAGGGAAGAAATCAGCCCTTTCAGCAGCTGTTCCAGTTCTGAGCCCTTGGCCTTCACCAATACCTAAGAGCATGATTCCCAGCTGAAGCAAGGTGTATCTACAACAAATAAAAATACCTTATATAAGGTATTTACAACATAAAGGAGAGAGGAGAGCTGCACTGCAGTTCACTTTTGCCTTAGGGCTTTTGCACTAATGCCAACCATACTTTTAATTCCCCCTTACTGTATTTTTTTTCCTTAAGCTTGCACTTGCTTTTGGATTCTTTCCTTCCTCCCACACAGTGCAGGTACAGCTGAAGAACCAAGGGCAACTGGAACAGCACTGAGGGAGTAGCTCTGATCAAAACTGATTCACAGAAACAACTCTGACTAATCCAAAGCATCTAATATGCTCCAAAATGAGCAGAATCAGTCACACAACTGACATTAAAGGACAATGAACTGATGACAAGAAATGAAGTTCTCTTTGTTGATGGATTTCAATTAAAATGTCCCAATAAAAGGCTGAGAGGAAAAAGAGGCTCAGTCTTGCCTGCAACCACCCCCAGAGAGATCTGTCACACAAATGAGATGGGATGTCACAGCCAAAAGAGAGAATGACTTAAATGAAATTTAATTAATTTATGTTTTAAATTACATTCTTTTAAAGTATTACCTATTGAAAATGTGAGGCCTTTGCCTGCAAATTCTCTTTGTAGATCAGCTACAAATTTCTCTCTTATATGCTCCTTCTGTTAAGGAAAAAAGAAAACAAAACCAAACAACAGTTACATGCTGTAACTGCTGTAACTGTGTTGATTTACCAGTGAAAAGATAACCCAAAACCACCTCTAAAAAAAAATGGTTTTATTGATTTGAATGGACCCAGGCTGGTTACACTATAAAGGACATCATAAAGTATGGTTTTACCTAGGACAGGGTTTTTTAGAAATCCCAGAGGCAGGATGTTCAGTACTCTGGATATTGGATTAAAAACATGAGCCAAACCCACTCTTCTGCAAGTAATCCTTGCTATTCTAACAAAAAAAACCCACATTGTTTATTTCCTGAATGAACAAATTAGTTAAACCACATGGAAAGGATTAAAATGAAAAAAAAATAGAATTGCACAAACAATGAAAGTTTTAAAAAAATCATAACCTGGCCATAACTGCCTCCTCCAGGAGAGCTGGGGATTTTTCAAGAGTTGTAACTCACTTTATCAAATTCATAGAACTCAAGTCGCTCTTCCTGGCTGCAGTTTCTTCCAATGGGGGACACATTTAACATCCCATTTCTGAACTCAATGAAAGTGCCTCTGCAAGGGAATTGATCACAAGACAGAAAATAGATGAGAAAACTGCTCAAAGCACTAAATATCACAACAAATTTCCATTTAATTCTAAGGGCAGTGGGAATCAGCTATCTCACTACATGCAGGTACCTCTGGCACCAGTAAGCCTTTAGGACTTTGGATCTGGCAAGCTCATCATCATCCTTACTGGCTTTTAAAAGCACCATTTGGTTTAACAAGTGTGACTGGAGCATCCCATCAAGCCCAGAGCCTGACAGGCCAGGTTGTCAGTGTGGGGTGAAGCTGCAGAATTCCCAGCAGTGTGGGCAGTGTCCTGCCCGGCCTCACCCAGCACATTTCAGGGTCTGCACAGCTGCACCTCACACACAGGGCTGCTCTGGCTGCACTCCTCATCTCTGAATTCCAAACATGGCAAGGGAACACTCCTGCTTCAAAACTGAATCTCCTTCCCTCTGACACAAAGTGCTGATCAGTATTTCAATCCCTGTTCTCCAGCTGGGGACCTCTTTGTATGCATGGCCAGAGCTCTGTTTCACACACACAGTGCTGGTCCCTAAACAGAAATTACTCTATTTTATTTTTTTTTGCTGAGTACCCTGAGCTGAGCTTTATATCCCCCATGGAGAACTGAGATGTCTGTGTGCACATACCTCTTCTTTGGCAGTCTGATCTTTGCAAGGTAACCCAGGCAGTAGTTGATGACATCTTGAAGGATGTCCTCGCCCAGGTGGCCCTGAATGCTCTAACAAAACAAACACCATTCAACCAAGGGTCCAGAATCTGAGATTCTAAAAGCAAGTCACATGGAAAACACAGACATTGGGTAATCAGGCATGGTTAATACCACAGAGAAACAAACATGCCTTCAATCAGTAACATCAGCTGATGCTCACATGGTACTAGCTAAAGGCTCTCATTTTTATTCACTTTATAACACCAAACTATCCTTTAATATGGCTCCTAGTTGTACCTGCTTCAGAAGGAAACTGTGCCATAGGCAGCAGCCCTAAACAAAAAGGTTTTAATGTCTGCACATGTCTGCATGTGCTGTGCTATAGCAAAGCACAAAGAAATGGAGCTTGTTCCTGCAGTAAACTGGAACCACTGGTCAAAGCAGCAAATTCAGTCAGGATCTCTTTAAGTGTTTGCTCTCCATTATTTATGTTAAACATTACATGCCAAATGAATGATCCATTAACAGGGCTAACATATGAAAGCAGCAGCACCTTTGATCTTTGAAAGGGTGATTACAAAGGACTACACTGTACAAATAAATCAAAATCTTGTTTAGAAAATTTCTTTTTCTCACTGCTGGAAATTTCACACTTACCTGCTTGCTCAGGAATTTCCCATCTTTGTATGCTACCAGGCCATTTTCTGAGAACACATAGTCATATTTCTCAATCACTGCAAACAAGCAAAAAGACAGTAACTCATCATTTCCCATCAATGCTTAATGCAGAATTGTCTTAAATGTTAAACAGCTTAAAATACAGCAAACATTAGCTCCTAAAGCATGAGAATTTCAGCAGCATAGCATCAAGCACAAGATTAATGCTAGTCCCATTTCTCACTATGATTAACACACACCTCAAATCATGTGAAATCAGTTGTTTGACTTATCTGTGGCTTTACTTAGAGGTGTATAACTCTTTGCATTAAGTGTAAAGAAATGATCAAACACCTGGCACATGGCCTGGCCTGAAAGCAAGTCAGGTAATGCCCTTTTAGGTTTGTTTCCTCAATGTCACTAATCTTCAGCAGGTGTCTGGGAGCTGTGAGTCTCAGCACCACATAAGATGATATGGTTTATTGGAGACCACTTGGAAGGCAAACAAACTCTGAGCTGCCTGGGCACTACAGGAGGCTGTCAGTGGCATCAATTAAGTAAAGACCATTAAGAATACAGGACTAAGGCAAGAATCCATAGCTACATAACCCCACAGTGAACAAATCCAGGTCCTCAGGGATGTGCTTGGCAGCTGAGCAGCCCACACGTGTATGTCACATACAGGCGTGCACTGCACACAGCAGAGTGACAAAGCTCTGACACCAAGGCAGGATTTCACCACTAGCAACAACCTGTTAATTTAATATCGAGATACCTGCACAGCGCAAACAGTCTGCGATTTCCAAAGCCGGGTTGCACTCCCCACAGCCTGAGTGCAATACAGCACTCCCAGGAAGACAATTACAAGCAAGGGAAAAAGGGGATGG